TAAAAAAAAAAAAAAAAAAAAGTGAACATAATATTCCATTTGGCCTGACCAGCACAAAGTAGAGCAGAACTATCATTTTTTCTTTTTAGATAATGATTCAGTATTAGTCCAGCTTAAAGCCTTTGATACCTGCTCTGAAATACCCCACCACGAGTATGAAATTCTTTCAAGCCAGTGAAGTCATTTGACATTCATATGGGCATGCTGGAGGACAATTCTGAAGGTTCACTAACTGAAAGCAATAGGAACAAAGCAGCAGCATGAATACTTGACCAGTAACACTCACTTCAATGTCAGCCATTAAAATTGCTTCCTCCTCTCTGTAACCTCTTCTAAAATTACATTGCCTTTTATAAACAGACATTCTATTTCGATAGTATAATAACTATTGTTTCTTTGCTCCCATCTATTTCTGCTGTTCACAGACCCCTCCCTTCTCTCTCTGACCCAGAATTCCCTAACAGAGAGCGCAGGGGAGAGTTCTCTTTCCTCTCTGGTCAAAGCTAGTGGTTGTAGCTGCAGCCTTGTGGGGAAAGCCGATTTGGGAGAATAAAGCCAATATATACTGAGCCAGAAAGAGTTCTTGACGGTGTTCGAATTCCTGGACTGAGTCCAGCATGAGACCGCCCCCTCTCCCTATCCCACCCCCCTACAGCCCTATTCCTTTACTCCCTTTAAAGCCATCTGAGTTGGGTTTAGTCTCTTGTGGCCAGGAAAGGGTTTTCTCCCTTCCTTACCTCTGTCTGCAATGTGACCTCTGCTACAATTGAGAAAAAAGACAAAGACTTTTTGAGTGTAAAGTTATGAGATCTGGTCAACGTTGGCAAGAGAAGTATTTTATATTTTATAGATGCTTCACTCTGAAGAATCCAAAGGACTCAGGGCACTTCTGGCGTGGGGGATAGATGGAACAGAGTAGCTGTCTGTCTGCTGGGGCAGAGCAGAGAGGGGAGGAGGGATGTGGAAGGGAGACCCCGGCGAAGAGCTCAGAGATGACCTGAGAGGCAGGACAAACCCTTCTGTCACTGGCTGTGGATGGGCTAATGGGAAGATGCTCTTTCCGAAGTGCACAGCAGCTGCTTCCCTAACACCAGCCCCAAAGGTCACTGACGCCAACAGCTCGAATTCTCTGATTCCTCTTGGGATCTAATGTGTAGGAAAGAAACTCCAGCCCATCCTGTGGGGCTAAAAGGACATGGATCAGCAAGAGACAGAACTGCACGAAATGCCCAGTCCTCTGCAATGACGATCGTGGTAGGAGGAGATGCCTTCTCCACTCCTAACGGAGCTTTAGGCCCAGGGGAAGCGTCTGCAGACCTGGGACTTCACTAAGCAGCCAAAGGGCATCACATAAAGTTCCCCACGACCGCACTTATTTTGAAATCCTGATGTAGAATACCTCCACTTCAATGATGTCATCCAGTGATCCCAACAAAAGGATTATTTCAATGTCTTGAACTTTGCAATCAAGCAGCAGATTATGCTTCTCTAGCCGTTTCTGTTCCAAAGAAGTTTGAATGATTACAACTTCTTTTTGCCATTTTCCCGCTTCCCTGTAAATAGAGATATGAAAAGTGGTACTTTACTCATGTAAAGTTGCACCAAAGAAGAAAAATGAATGTGTTATAAACTCACATGGAAAAAAGATTTTTTCCTATGAGTGCTATAAGTTCTAGAGTTACCTCACTGATGCTTATAATATAAACTTTAACTTTCTTGAGAAAGGCCATGAATGTAATTAGTTAATCCTAGGGAGCATTTTTTAAATAAACAATTACTTTAATCAGGCTAGCTTTGTGTCCTACGTTGTTTTAAAATCTATATAATTTTTCAAGCTGCATTTCTTCCTCAATATGAGCTCTACACTTTAGAACCTCAAAATAAGAGAAACAACCTTTTAATAAGAGAAATGTCTTATCAGTTAAGTCATTATGTATCTAATGGTCTGAACTTTTCTTTTTACTACAGCCACTATTAATATAATGCCCTCTATCTTAAATGAATGAGGGCTTGGGGGTTTTACCAGTTAAAACAATGTGGGATTTTAAAGAGGACCTAGAAATAGGACCAAAAATAAATTAAGAAGTATATGGTTTTCAAAAATACAATGATGAACAGAGATGTAGTTCTGTTTATACTAAATACAAGAGTGAAAAAAAACTCAGGAGTAAATGAACTTTAATTCCACTCGAAAATCTTAGACAAAGAACTTTCTGACTCTGTCCTGAAGTGCTGAAAGTCTTTAACCAGTGAGGAAAACCATGAAATGCCAAGAGTTGACCAAACCAGAGCACATTTCATGTGATCGCTTACGGTCATGTCCAATCATACAGGAAAGCAGAGGTCACTGTGGTACAGCAGGCTGCCTGATTCCAAGTGTCTTTGTCCCCATTATGACAGAAACACAGGCTTATCACGTGCCAGGTACCATTCTAAGTGTCATATGAACAGTCCCTCATTTAATCCTTACACCTCTCCTGGGAAGAAGGCACTAGGAGTATCCCCATGTTACTATTTACTAGAGGAGGAAATGAAGGCATAGTATGTAAGTAGTAGAACTGGGGTATGCAACCACACAGACTGGCTCCAGATCTCACCCCCACCCCGCCCCGCCAGGCTTTGTCCCACAGGCGGACTAGAGAGGGGCCTGGTACAGCAGTGTCCGAGGGATTTAGGGTAAGGGACTCTTCATACACGTCCATGTTTTCTTCTGCCAAAGAGCACTATTCACTCTAAAGAACTAATCGCCTCTTTTGGTTTTCCCCCAAACGAGAACACTTGAAAGGTGTGATGTGGGACTAAAAGCACCAAGGGTACATACTCAAATAACAAAACTTCCTACAATAAATTTCAAATTGGTAATAAACGTCTTTAAAATTCTGGTTATGGTCCTTCAAACTGATATACCGAATTACCTATCAATAGCCAAAAATTTCTTCCGTTCTTCTTCCAGCTGAGCTTGGACCTTCTCAGCGTTGGCATTCTGAGTGACAAATACGTCCTTAAGTTGCTGCCGCTTTGCCATGAGTTCATCCACAATTTGCAGACAATTTTCTTCAGCCTGAATGAAGATGATTTGCACTGTAGACTCACCACTGTTTACATTAATAAGGTCAACAGATCATCTTATTGTCAAGAAACCAACCCAGTGATTCTGGGATAAACCCTTATTCTGTGTGCTGCCTGAACCTCTATCCCAGCATGTGACCCACTCTGGTTCTACACTTCTTGGAAATTACTGCCTGCCTTTGTCCTTCACTTTGGATTCGTTCCTCAGCTTGCTGCCATCTGACTTCTGTTCCCATTGTCCAGTGAAAATGTTCTTGCTGCTATGACCTCTTAATTGGTAATCTGACCCCCCCCCCCCCCCCGCCCAGAGCGGTGGGGTTTCTGGCTCTATCTTCGTAACCCATGTGACCACTCCTTCCAGAATTCCACCCTTGCCTCACTGCTCTTCATGGTCCTCTGCTCTGCCTGGGAGTCTCAACCACTCATACATGGTTTCAGTTCACTCCCATAAAGTAGCCCGGGCTCTTCCCACCATCTGCGTGCTCTTCACCTGCCAGAGATCACTGCCTAGGTGTCACACAGGCAATTCAAGCTCCATGGGTCCAGAATGTTCTCCCTTTAACTTGCTCCTCTGTCCACCAGTCAATCACCCAAACCAGAACTCAGGAGTCATCAGTGGCATCCCCCCTTGCCTCCCACGCCCACTTCAACATCTAGTAATTCATGAAATTGCTGATTTGACTTCCAGTATTTCCCAGATCTGCCCACCACCTTTTGGGTCACCAGGAGGACACTTCAGGAGCTCGACCCGTGTTTACTCAATGGAGGAAGTCATCATCTCAGTGATGGGGCACCTCAGCCACCTGTTCTTGGTTACCTGCTTTAGGTCATCAATGTCCTCTCTGCCTTTCTGGATGGTTTCTTTTAAAGTGTTGATCTTACTCAGTTTCTTCTTCAGCTGATTGCGACTATATTCGAGTTGAACGTTAAGACGAGTTTTTTGTTTCTCAAATTCTAATCTAGTATAACAGAGTCAAGTGTTATAAGTGGTAAAGAGTCTTTTAATTCTTTACTTTTTAGTTGTTATTATGGAAAATGTCAAGAAAATACAGAAGTAGAAGGAATACTATAAGGAGTTCAGTTCACGGTCAGTCCTGTTCCATCGATAGCTGTACTCGTGACTGCTCCACCACTGGGGTATCTGAAGCACATTTCAGACATCATATAATGTCATCTGTAAATATTTAAGTCTGTGTCTCTGCAAGTGAAGTGACCATTAACACAAAACCACAAGCTACTATAGATAAAAATGATGACAATTCCTTAATATTAGATTGCTCTCATTGCCAGATTTCCTGAGTCTCATTAAAAACAAAACTGGTTTGTTTGAATCAGAATCCATACATTGCATATAAATATATGTTTCTTCAGTCTTTTGTTATCTGTGGGCTCCCCCCCCTCCTCTTTAAGTTACAACTGATGTACTTATTCTCATTTATTTGTCTGTCTTTCCAAATGGCTAGTCATCCACAAACTCCTAACTTGGGAATTGAAGAGCGTATCTTTCCTGAAGCTCCTTCCTCCCTTGCCAGCCTCACAGACTCCTCATAAAGAACTCCAAGACCAACTGTAGCTCCTCCTTCTCATCCTCTCTCCCTCACATACCCTGCTAAAGGATCATTCAATCCAGACAGATTTTCAAGCACTAACTGTTACCAGAGACTAACTGTGCTAGATACTGCTGATACAAAGACCACCACAACAGTAATGATTAAAAATAGAGTGATATTCAGTGAGACGTCACTGTGTGCCAGACTGTCACTCATGCTTTTGCAAGAATTAACTCACTTCAGTTGTAGGACTCTCTGAGTGGCTAATACTACCATCCCTATTTATGAGGAAGCTGAGCAGACAAAGCACAGAGTCAAGTTTCTTGCCGAAGGCTACCCCATGAGGAAGGGATGGAGCGGGCGTGACACAGAGTCCCTGCTCTTAACAACTTTGGTTAAGTGCCTGCAGGAGGGGTTAAGAACAAACCCTTGAAGGATTTATTCCTGCTGCAGGAGGCAGACATGCAGACTATGTACGACGGAAACACTTCTTCACTTGGCTCTGGAACACCATACCACTCTGGCTTTCCTGTCCCCTCACTGGCTGCTCCTTTGATGGTTCCTGGTGATCTTACCCAGGCACATGGCTTTAAGTACAATCTGCATACAAACAATCCCAGAATTTATACCTCCAGCCAGGACCTCTCCCATGAACTCCTAACTTACACATTTAACTGCCTACTCCACATCTCCAATCGGATGTCAAAGGCATCCCAGGACACATAATGGATAAGCCACTAGAAGCAGTAAGAGGTTTTAGCAAACTTATGTTACACCAATCTAAAATTTGATAGCGTTTTTCTACACCAGTAGAAGCCAATTAGAAAAATATAAAAATAAATACTCGTAAGAAAAAAAAACCTATAAAATACCTATGAAATAACTTAAGATCACATAAGATCTCTATGGAAAAAAACTTTAAAATTCTAGTAAAGGATATAGATGATCAGAATAAATGAAGAGACATACCAGGTTCTTAGGTTAGAGGACTCGATATTTTGGAGATGTTCTCCCCAAATAAATCTATAAATCTGATGCAATCTCAATCAGAATTCCAGTTGGATTTTTATGAGAAACTCAATAAACAGTAATAGGCATAATTCTTTACAAAGAAAATCTATCAAAGTTCAAGTAGACTTCAGAAAAAAGAATATGACAGGAGGATAAAGAAGGGGCATTTCACAGTGATAAAGGGATAAATTCATCAAAAAGACATAATGTTCCCAAATTATGTATGGACCTAATCACAAGGCTGTAAAATAAATGAAGTAAAAACTGACAGAACTGGAAGAAGAAACTGACAGATCCAAAAGTATACTTGGAAATTTCAACACTCCTCTCAGTGTTTGCTGAACAACTAGGCAAAGGACCAGTAAGTACAGAGAGGACTTGAATGATACTAACCAACTGGATTTAACTGACACCCAAAGAACACTCCATCCAACAGCGGGTACCTAGTAAACAACACACTTCTAAACACCCCATGGGTCATTGAAAGAAATCACAAAATATTTGAAAATATTTTGAATGGAATGAAAATGAAAAAACAACATACCAGAAGTAGTGGGATGCAGCTTAAGTGGTAATTACAAGGAAATATATAGTTTAAAATGCTTATATTAGAAAATAATTAACCCAAAAGAAGTAGAAGAAAATAATAAAAGAGCAGAGATCAATAACACAGAAACAGACAAACCACAGAGAAAATCAATGAAGCCAAGAGCTGCTCTTAGAAAGGATCAATAATAAATTAATAAAATGAATACACCTCTAGCTAGGCATCAATAAGAAAAGAAAGAAGATAAATCACCAATATCAGAAACGAAAGAAAGGACATCAATATAGATCCTACAGACATTAGAAAGGATAAAAAGCAAATATTATGAATAACTTTGACAACATGGATGAAATACATAAATTCCTTGGAAGACACAAACTACCAAAACTAACTCAAGAACAAAGATATCCTGGATAGTCCTATATTTATTAAGAGAACTGAATCAATGTCCTCTCTGCCTTTCTGGATGGCAGAAAACCTTCCCACAAAGAAAGGTGGGTGGCCCCAGTGGCTTCACTGGCAAATTTTACCAAACTTTTTTGAGAGACGTAATATAATTCTACAAAAACCCTTCCAGAAAACATAAAAGGAGACAATTCTTGAATCATTTTGTGGGTCTGGCATTACCCTGATACAAAAATGTGATAAAGGTATTGCAAGAAAAGAAAACTATGTATCAGTACACTCATGAATGTAGATGCAAAAATCCTTAATGAAATTTTAGCAAATGAAATCCAAAAATATTTGAAAAGGATAATACAATATTACTGAGTGGGGTTTATCCTGGGTATATAAAGTTGGTTTAACATCAATCAATATAATTTATCATATTAATAAACAACAAAAAACCCCAACCATGCAATCACTCAAAAAAAAAATGGCAGAAAAAGTATTTGACAGAATTCAATATTCATTTATAAAAAATTTCAGCAAACTAGAAATAAAAAGGAACTATCTCAACCTGCTAAAGGGCACCCTAAAGTTAAAACCATACTTAACTGTGAAAGACTGAGTGCTGTGCCCCTAAGACTGGGAATAAGGCAGGATGTCTGCTCTTACTACGTTTATTTATTCAACATTGTACTGGAGGTCCTAGTTGTGCAATAAGACAAGAAAAGAAATAAAAGGTGCACTAATTGGAAAAGAAGAAATAAACTTTTTTTCACTGAAATACAATCATCTATGTAAAAAATCCTAAGGAATCTAAAAAAAAAGAGCTCCTAGAACTAATAACTGCAGCATAATTGAAGGATACAAGGTCAGTTTATAAAAACCAATCTTGGGTGCCTTGGTGGCTCAGTTGGTTAAGCATCTGCCTTTGCTCAGGTCATGATCTCAGGGTCCTGGGATGGAGTCCCGCATCAGGCTCCCTGCTCAGCGGGAGCCTGCTTCTCCCTCTCCCTCTGCCTGCTGCTCCCCCTGCTTGTGCTCTCTCTCTCTCTACCAAATAAATAAATAAAATCTTAAAAAAATAAAAATAAAAACCAATTATTTAGGGGCTCCTGGGTGGCTCAGTTGGTTGAGCATCCAACTCTTGATTTCAGTTCAGATCATAATCTCAGGGTTGTGAGATTGAGCCCTGTGTCATGCTCTACACTCAGTGTGGAGTCTGCTTGAGATTCTCTCCCTCTGCCTCTCACCCCATTCTCTCTAAATAAATAAATAAATAAATAAATCTTAAAAAAAACCAGACCAATCTTATTTCAATATACTACCAACAATCTATTTGAAATTGATAATTAAAAACAATTCTATTTATAATAGCATAAAGATATAAGGTACTTAGAATAAACCAAACAAAATATAAGACCTGTACACTGAACACTAAGAAATACTAATGAGAGAAATTAAGGAAGATCTACATAAGGAAGATCTACATAAGACAGACAGACACCATGTTCGTGCATTAGTATTGTTAAAATGTCAATTCTTCCCAAATTGATTTATATATTCAACACAATCCCAATCAAAATCCCAGCAGACTTTTAAGCAATTGAAAAGCTGATCCTAAAATGTACATGGAAATGCAAAGGACATAGAATAGGCAGGGGCGGGGCGCCTGGGTGGCTCAGTCA